AAATGATAAGACTTCTGAAAAAATGCACAAGTTTACAAACACAGAAGAAGGGAAGCTAGACCCTTCCCTTGATTAAATTCAGGACATAAAGCAGGCTAGTTGCATGATCAAAGCCTGACAAGTAAACAAAGGGGGGGAAATGGATCAATTATTAACTTCAGTTCATTTTCATACCAACATGGATCCTCGGCAATCAACAGTTAGAGGCAGGAATAATGACACAATCTATGTCAACAAGACACTAACAAAATCACACTGCTGTAAGGATAGATCCATACATGAAATGGATTCCATTATAGGCAATCAATTATATGGACTTTTTTTCTTATTTAAGCATCAAAATCAATTAGTAAATGAAATAAGGGGGGAAAAGTACTAACACAGGAGAAGCATCCCTTCCCTCACACCTTTAAGAAGTTTCTTAAGTGTAAAAAGTCAAATGCACCATCAGAGTAAGCTCAGAGCAAGGAACAAGAAACAACAGACTGACTTAAACAGAAAAGTAGCCTTTTGCTTTGAACCTATTTTATAACGGTAAATAAAAACATTTAGCTTCTGACAAAGTCTTCAACTAAAATATGGTGGACTTAAAAAATTACACTTGGAATAGGTACACCATAGAAGTTTTCTTAGCTATTTTCAGCTGCTTTTTCTTGCTATCTCCCCTGAGGAACACATGCTGTTTTTTTTAATTGGGGGAAGATACCTGTTATGTACATGATGCTTTACCAAAAAAAAGTCTCCTGTCTCAAGGGCTTACAATCAAATAGAAGTATACATGAAAACAACAAAGAAAGGGAATGAGAAAAATAGAAAAGAATGCACAGTTAACATCAAGGTTAAAGAAAAACAAGGAAGAATATACAATTCTTTCAAGTGAGTACAGTCTGGTTTAAATGTATAATTGGAACTGTACATACTGGGCAGTTTCCTCTCTCAAGCATTTTATTAAACAATTGAAAGAATTACCAGTCCTTAAATAGAAACATCAAAGCAAGATTTTTCTCTCTCTCTTCAGCTCAAAGGGTAAGGCCCTTAGAACTGAAAGAAGTACATGTGCAACAGAAAGCTCACAACCATCACAAAGACAAAATAATCCCATAAACATCCGTACAGGTAGTCCTCGACTTACGACAACTGAGCCCAAAAATTTATGTTGCTAAGTGAGACATCTGTTTTGCCCCATAGTATGACTTTTAATTCCACAATTGTTGAGCGAAACACTGCAGTTGTTAAGTTAGTAACATGGTTGTTAAATGAATCTGGCTTCCCCACTGACTTTGCTCGTCAGAAGGTCACCAAAAGCTGATCACATGACTGCATGACACTGCAGCTGTCATAAATATGAACCAGTTGCCAAGCATCTGAATTTTAATCATGTGACCCAGGGGATGCTGCAACGGTCATGTGAAAAAAGGTCATAAGTCACTTTTTTAGAGTGTTGTTGTGTCTTTGAATGGTCACTAATTGAACTGTTATAAGTCGAGGACTACCTTTATTCACAACTATTTCAGTCCACATATTACACAGATATAAAGGTAGCCCTCAACTTGCAAACAATTTGTTCAGTGATCATTTAAACGTTACAATGCACTGAAAAAAGTGACTTATGATCATTTTTCCATTTATGACTGTTGCAGCATCTCCGTGGTCACATGATCAAAATTTGCACGCTTGTCAACTGGCATGTATTTATGACGGTTGCAATGTTTCCGGGTCATGGGATCACGTTATGTGATCTTCTCACAAAGTCAATGGGGAAGCCAGATTCACTTAACAACCCTAATGCTAACTTAACAACTTAACAAGTAAGGCAAGCAAGGTTGTAAAATAGGGCAAAACTCACTTAACAACTGTTTGATTTAGCAAAAGACATTTTGGGCTCAAGGGTTACCTGTAAATCTGTGTATTTTCAGATATTACTGACAACAACTGACAATACATCCTTCTACTAACTAGACATAAGACACTGTGCTGAATTTCAGAAACATTTGGGAGGCTAGAGATTCTCTACCTCTACCAAGTATGTGCTTTCAAAGACAAATGATGATCAGGGAGATGTGAAAAATATCAAGGGAGAGATGACTAGAAAGACATAGGATCAACTTCAACCCAGTCTGCTTCATTATTTGTTCAGAAAAATCACAATTAGCCTTCTTGCTTGTTTCTTTTTAATCTTCTGTTCATAGCTATTGTAAGGATGAACAAAACAAATAGTTCAGAAATTACATGCTGTATAAAGATCAACTAAGCAATTATTTTGTCTTTTCAAAGCACATTATCTGAATTCAGCATGTTTCAAAACTAAGAACTAATAATAGATCTAGGCTGCAAAATCCACACAAGAAGATACAGATACAATTGAACTTTGTTGAGAGTCCATATGTGGTATTCCTATTATAAATTCAATCCCAACATATTAAGGACAGTACAGTAAATGTCAGAAAATAAAGATTATCTGCCTGCTTGCCTAAGAAGCTGAATATAGCTCAGAAGCAGTAGTTTTTGAGCAAAAAAGAAAAAAGGATATTCATACTTCATTTAAGTATTCAATCTACTACATTTCTCTAAATGTAATGCTCCATAAGCCTTCTGAAAATAACTGTATTTCACAGTGCTTTTAAAATAGCACATCTCTGCCCTAAATTTCCCACCTCTTAAAATAACACCCTGCTACATAATCAGCTGACACTCCTCCACTCACAATGTAGAAGTCATTTGCTGATAATTAACTCATTTGTCCTCTAAAGAATTATCTCACCTGCTTTAATACACTGAAGAGGAACTCAGAAATGGAGGGCATTTTAACAAATTTTTTATCTATACAGTTTTACACATCTAATTATACATCTAATATACTTCACATTTGCACATTTGCATCCATTATCTAATTGTAACGAAGGAGGGGTGCAATAGATTCAAGAACTGAAAGGATATTCTAAAGAACTCAAGATCTTCTTTCTCTTCTCCTTGAATGCAGGCCATAGAAACATGGGCAAGTTACAGGAAAGTAGCTCTGACTGAATATTAGACATAATTTCCTAACAAAAATAGAAGTTTAATATTGGAATAAATTACTTAGATAGGTGATAGACTCCCCTATACTGGATGTATTTGTGAGGGTTGATAGCCCCTCTAGTTTCATTTGGCTTCCTGTCCTGAGCCCAGGGTTAAAGTAGATGGGTCTCTTCCAGCTCTATGATTCTCATAAGAATCATCTTTAAGATGAATCAATTTATTCAGAGAGATTTATACAGAGAAAGATTTTTCTCAATAAAATACAGTCTTTTATATATGATTCTTTTCATTCTTTCAGGTTCAATACCTCTGAGGCATGTATTTATCCTACATCATTTTCAGAGTTTTGCATATGACTTATCTATCAAACAGAAGAGAAAGTGTACAATCAATGAAATCTGTCACATCAAGACATTTTTATAGATATAAAATAAATATTTTATGTTAACTTTCCAATATACAGACGCCCATGTTAGAATGAAGCTTTCCATTTTCTATTCTAAACTACTGCATTGAAGCTGAATTCCTTCATACCGATCTGATATCCTCTTAGTTTATAGAATCAAACCAAATTCATCAATCATATTATCACATCCAGGCCTAAATGCACTTCATATGGGCTCCCATTCCTGTAATCAGTGTCAAATGACTTGCAGAATGACAGGGAATATATCCTTCTTTTCATTTCATATAGTTATTGCATTATTCCAACAATAACTTGGAGATGAGTTGGAACCAAAAGCTCTTGAAAATAGGAAACAAAAACAGAAGTCAGAAGCCCCAAGAGTAGTTGGAAAAGGAGACCATGACAACATGCCAGAAGTGACCCCTGCCCCCGTCGGAGTTGAAGGTCCAGTTTTTCACTAAAAGTCTTGAGATCCTCCTTGGTATGGGCAACCAAAAGGAAGGCTTTTGTATTTCATCTCCTTTTTGCCCCCTGCTTTGCAAGGAACAGATGCTGAATCACTAATAGCAGCAGCACCAGCTGCTGCCTCCATCATCCTCCCATCCTCACATGACACCCTCCCTCCCAATGGTGCAGCATCAATTTCACCCCACCGTGTGTGTGTGTGTGTGTGTGTGTGTGTGTGTGTGTGTGTGTGTGTGTGTGTGTTAAGCAAGAAAGCTGCCAAAGCCTCTCTCTGCTTTACTCTAGAATAAGGTGCACTGGATAGCTGCCCCTACCCACCCACCCACCCACCCTCTCAGGTTGGAGACAAGAGGATGGGAAAATCACGTCCATAAATTACCTGCAAGCAGCAAGTACTGCCCCCCCATCCAAGGCTGTGGCTTTTTGCGGGATCGTGATGTTCCAACCGGCTCCTCTCAGCTACAGGATGTCCACAACCCGGTCCAATTGAACGACCCTCTTCCGCGGACCGCCTTCCAACCCGTCCTTCTCCAGCAGCACTTGCTGCTCTACAGCTCGCCAGAGGCCACCAAAATACTGAAACCGGAGGGCGCTGCAGCAAAGCTGAGAGGCCGGAGCAATCCACTCACAATCTGAAAGGGGGAGGGCAAACTAACTGCACGACGAAAGCAGTTACAAGTAAAGGCAGCTTTGGGCTTTCACGTGCTCAGTGGGGTAACAGCAGATGAGAGCTCTTCTTCTGGAGTAGTGCTGCTATGCCTGGCAAGAACGGCCTAAAAAGGCTTCGCTTCTTACCGCGTCCCCCTCTTCTGTTGGGAAAGTGGAACGCCCCGCCTCGCCTCGGCTCCTGCGAACGGCTTTAGCAGGGGGACGAGGCAAATAGGTTGAGTGCGGTAACGGGAGAGATCGCTCGCAAAGGCTAGAGACTAGACCTTCTCGGTCAAAGTTGCCGTCGGGATAGCCACCTCTAGATTTGACTCAGTCCTGCCTGATTCCCCAGGCAGATTCTGTCGCGAATAGATCCCATTGAGTTTAATGGGATTGACGGCTAAGCAAAGAGCTTGCAGCTCTAACCCGTTTCCCGCCTCCTCTCGACTATATAATCCCGCGCGCTCCTATTCGAAGGATAACGGTCCTCTTTTCCTTACAAACTAGATTAGATTTCATAGACGATGTTCCTCACTTGTGGCTGGTGAAAAGTTATCCCCAAGGACCAGGAGCTGAGAGGTTATGCAAACATGTGCCTTCCATATTGTAAATATGGTAATCCTTGACTTACGACCAAAAGTGAGCTCACAATTTCTGGTTTAGTTAAGTGAGACATTTGTTAAATGAGTTTTGCCCCATTTTACGATCTTTCTTGCCTCAGTTGTCAAGTGAATCACTGCAGTTGATAAGTTAATAACCTGGTTAAGTGAATCTAGCTTCCCTGCTTGTCAGAAGGTTGCAAAAGGGAATCACATGAGCTCAGCAATGGTCATAAATATGAAACAACTGAATTTTGATCACATGATCGTGGGGCTGTTGCAAAGCTCATAAGTGTGAAAAATGCTCATAAGTCACTTTTTTCAGTGCCCATGTAACTTTGGATGGTCACTAAATGAACTGTTGTAAGTTGAGTATTACCCATAACGTATTTCCTTCTCTGTATAGGTCCTTTATTTTTAATAAGAGTGGAGTAAATTAAAAACAAAATCAGTTAACAAGTAAAAGTTCAAGAGAGATCAGATTTTTTTCCCTTATTTATCAACATCCAAGTTGATATTTTGTAACACCTGGAGGCAGCAACAGTGAGGAAGCATATGCTCAGTATACTCACAATTAAATTGGCCTCTGCCTATAATCTTTCCTGCAGTATAACATGAAGTCAAATATTTGCTACCTAAATCCCCCCCATATCAGCTGTTAATGCTGTTAGAATGAAAGTGCTATTAATTAAAATGATACTATCGAAAATGTATGTTTTCTAAATAAATTAAGAAGGAACTTTGGGGTAGTGGTTAAGGCATCCAATTAAGGCATCCAGAAGACCATGAGCGCTAGTCCTTCTTCAGGCACAAGCCAGGTGGGCAACTTCAGGCCTTGGAAGAAAACAGTGGCAAGTCCTTTCCAAAAATCTTGCCAGGAACTTGCATGGATTTTTCTAGGTAGTCATCAGGAATCAAGAATGACTCAAAGGTACAAATGTATATAAGCATATATAATACTTTATAAAACTGAGTAGCAAATGTTATACTATTTTATCATTAAAAAAACTATGCAGCTTACAATAAGCACCTAATCTTAGTGTATGTATAAGTATGTATAATAGAAAAAAAATAAACTACTACATAAAATTACTAAAAATCAAAATAACCCCACACTAAATCTAAATTGAAAAAAAAATCAAGATAACAAAGCAAAATACCTAAATAAAAAATATCGAAGTATTTTTTAAATTTGTATTCAGTAAATAAAGATCTAAACCCAGAGAATCATATTCTCTGGTCTTGACTCTTCATTGATACAAAAAACCCCTATATTTATTTATTAAACAGGTTTATATAGCCACCCCCACACACAGCAAGTCCTGTGGGACAGACATGATGTAGAAGCATGTTCCTAATTATTATACAACATATAACACTGAATAATCGCTATTGACATTAGCGATTAGTAAAAATGTAGTAAAAAATCAATAAGTATAATTCAATCTTAATGTTGGCTTGGTAATTTTAAGTGAAAAATCAGAGTCTGTGACTCTCCAGATTTTATTAAATACATTTCTTGCAATCAGCAAGAAGGAGGACCCATATGCACTTAATGAATTATTCAGAATGGAAATCTCTAGTGAATTTTCCCTGTAATAATAAAGCCTTCTTTACTGGAGAGACACAATATAGCTCCACCATTTTGTTAATTCATAATCTTGTTCTAAAAATATTGAAAAATGAATTGAAAATGATTCCCACCTGTGTGAAAACATTTCCTTTATTGTCTGATATGGTCCCCTGTAGTTGTATTTATTCATTTTCCATCCTACATACCTCAATATATGTTTAGTTTTTCACAGTTTAGAAACAGTATTGAATTAAGGGCCACTGAGAAGGCCCTTTGGTTTATGGCATATACCTACATGCCAAAGCAGTGGTATGTTTTGTCGTATGACTTACATTTTTACATAGCTAATGATAGCTCTCTCTATCTCTCTCTATCTCTCTCCACATACACATGTGGAAAAAGTATCAATCTGATTATAAAAAACTAAGAATTTTTCTTGAGTCTCAGCCCATTCATAGCTCTGTCTCTTGCTTCCTATAAATAATCTATCAATAGTAAAGTACTTAATATTCATATGAAAGCAAAAGCAATACAATGAGAAAAAGAAACCCATTTTATGGCAGTAACTTGCTTTGCGTGTGCGTCTTTGAGTCAGTTTTTATTCTTGGCGATTGCCTGGACTAGTCTCTGAAATTTTCTTGGCATAATTTTTTTCAGAAGTGGTTTTCCATTGCCTGCTTCTTAGGGCTAAAAGAGAGTGATTGGCCAAAAATCACCCACCTGGCTTTGTGTCTGATGTGGAACTAAAATTCACAATCTCCCAGTTTCTAAGCTGATGTGTTAATCACTACATAAAGTGGCTCTGAGTTTACCCATGATTAATTTAAGTATGGTTTGCTCAAACCCATTTTCTAGGTTTGCCCAACTTTGTGGGCTACATTCACACAACCTAGTTACTAAAGAGGCAAAGTCACTAAAAATCATATTATATTTATATATTTGATTTCTTAAAATTCTACCTTTATTATTTTTATGAATAACTGAAGGTGGCAAACACACACAATATTCCTTCCTCATTCTACATTATTTTCCCCACAACAACCTGGTGAGGTGAATTGGGCTGGCAGAAGAATGACTGGTCCAAAGTTACTCAGCTGGCTTTCATGCCTCCTGGTTTCTAAGATAGCACCTTAACCACTTCATCAAACTGGCTTATATATCTATTATTGTTGTTGTTAATAATAATAATAATAATACATTTTTCTGCTGAATATTAAAAAAACCCAAAAGATAAAAATTTACTTTGGAAAACTCCCTCCTTCCTATCAATCAGTTTATAGAGAATTTTCCTCTGATGTATTATTGTAAACAATGACATGTTTTAATTTGCTGGTTTATATGTAATTAATTAAATAGTAATACTTATAATATTTTTATATTTATAACCTATTTTTGATTCAGGAACTTAAGGGACAACACTACCTGTTTCTATTTTTTTCTTACAACAATAACTTTGTAAGATAGATTTGACTGAGAGAGAATGACTGCCTTAGCAAGTGAACTTCCATATGGGAGAATGGACTAGCATTTCAATTTCTCTGAAACGGAACTAGTCTAACCTCTTAAATGCCAAATTAATCAATGTAATATACACAATAACTAAAAATAAAAAGACCTAGAATTTGTATTATAATCAAAGCAATTCCAGAAAACCTGACTAAAATTAGTCAAAATCTGTTTATATGTTCCCTTTCAACCCACAAAAAGACTATTTCACATGTTGGGAAACCCCATATCAGCAAGCTATTAATTCAGATATAAACATGTATTTCAATATTTTAGCATTTTGATTGTGTCACATAGGAACTATGAATAATTCCTTGTACATACGATGCATTCAAAATGCTGATATGTATACTGTACAAGGAGAGTCAGTATGATATAGTGGTTAAGGTATTGAACTAAAACATTGTTTCCCAAACTTGACAATTTTAAGGCATGTGGACTTCAACTCCCAGAATTCCATAGCCAGCGTTGCTGGCTGTGGAATTCTGGGAGTTGAAGTCCTCATGCCTTAAAATTGTCAAGTTTGGGAAACACTGAACTAAAAGCAGAAAAGGCCAGGTTCTAGTCCATCCTTAGGCATAGAAGTTAGCTGGGTAACCTTAGGTCAATCATTTCTTCTTAACACTAACCGTTTGTTCTGCAACAAATGGTAGGAACAATTGATTTTATAGACAAGGAGATAAATTTTTGATAAGCAACAATCAGTATAATTGCTGACAGCCTTGTAAATTTCAGTCTCAAATATGGCAATAACCAAGTGAATCCAAGTCAAATGAGTTAACGTTCAAATTTTTGAATTGCATCTCCATCAGTAAGACTTAAATGTCCTTTATGGATGGGGAAAAGATATATGAAACATTTAAATGCATTAACCACATTTAGAGCAAAATAAACTAGTTTTTAAAAGAGTTTCCGTTGGTTGGCAGAAACAAAACAGCCAATTCCATTATTTCAAAAGTATTATAATAATTAGCAACAATTTCATTTATATCCTTGAACTTCTCAAAACTAGAAAACTTCTAAAAATAAGTTATCTATTTGGGAATCTCATGATTTCTTCCAAGATTTTTACAAATACAGAATTTTAGATATAGTAATAGTTCCCCTCTTAGAAGTATGCCTACCTGGGTTTCAGGACTGGCACCAGTTGTGATTCCAGGGCAGGGTGGTAGAATGGCTTATGTCATTCAGAAGGTTCTTGTGGCTTTCAGAGATGCTGTTCTGCAGATAAGCAGATGTGAGACCCAGTTTGTAAAGTTGGTCTCTAGGGAGCAGATGGATTATTGCTGCTATACTTACCTCCTTGCTGTGTAGTGGCTTTATTCCCTCAGCAGCTCAATTCTGATGGAATTGGTGGTGTAGTTTCCCAGACATAGTGTATGATATTAGGAGATTTCAAACTGCCTTCCTTGGGTGCAAAATCTGAAATGGCTTGGTAGCTCATATGCAACCATGAATCTGAATCAAGTCATCATGGATCAACCATGTTTCAGGGACATATATATATATATACATATATATATGTATGATCTGGTTTATATTTTGGAGTAGTTGCTACATGATCGGTATTTGAAGGATATTAACATCTATTTCTTGTCATGATCTAACAACAGATATAATAAGCTTCATAGGGAGCTTGGGAAGAACCCTGTAGCTGTAAGGCACAGTTTGATTATGGCATTAGTCATTAGTTAGAATAAGAGAGTGACAGTGACTTTGGATTGCCCCGTATGGCCTCTGTCTGTTTGTGGATCCCTAGAGACCCCCTGGTTCTGAGAGAAACCCTGGAAGATAACACAAAAGAAATGCATAGAGTGCCATTGGCGAAAGATGAAGAGTGAGTCCAACAGAATATGCAAACAAACCTTGATTAAGCAACTATTTTTCCACTGTTATTACATTCACAAGTTGCCAACTGATGACCTTATTTTAGATGACTAATCCTTTTAGGGAAAAAGTGATCAGGGGAACATCTGAAATTCTACTCTAAAGCTGAAGATATCTGAAGGATAAAATTGCTTCGATCTGTTATGAGATAGACTCAAATTTAGCATGCTCTTCAGAGTTGACTGTGGTGTAGTCTGACTTGATTATAAGAGAGACATTTCAGCCTTTAGTTTTGAAGCAGTAGGCTAGGTCCTTGGGTTTGGTAGTTTATAGGCGTCCATGTTGGGGTTTTTGTTGTTGTTAGTTAAGACCTCTCAGAAGACAACAAGATGTGGTTGAGCCCAAATGATGAATTCATCCTTCAGTGAGGAGCTAATTTTGCTCTCCCTTAAGGACGCAGTAATCCATCCCATCCTCAAGAAACATAGCATTGATGTTAGCTAATACCTGACCAGTTCCATTTTTTTGGAAAGGTGGTTGAGAAGATAATCAGGCTATAGCATCAGAGTGTGCCTGGAGCAAACAGATTGTCCAGAACTCTTTCAGTCAAGTTTTAGGTCTAGACATAGTTAATGCTTCTAGCCTGTCTCCCTTTGATCCCTTGATTGATCCCTTCAATATAATCAATCATGGTATTCTCAACAGTCTTAAACGGTTAGGAGTAGGGGGTATTATGCTGCAGTGGCTCTCCTTTCAGGGCCAGTTCCAGTCAACACTCCCAGTCAATGGAGGTCTAGCCCTAGACCTTTCTTTGTGGGATGCTTCAGAGTTCCACTGTCTCTCCTGCTCCAATTTAACATCAACTTGAAGCTATTGGATGACGTCATTTGTCAGTACAGGATAAGATATCATCATTATGTTAGGCTAACCACACAATGCTGTCAGGGTTCTATCTCACTATCTGGATGCTGTGGGAGTCTTGATGGGGAGGAAGAGATTCAGGTTCAACCCTAGCAAGAACAAGTAGATGTAGAATTTGAGTCCCTGTGGATATATTTCAGTGTTAGTTCTGGAGAAGGTTACGCTATCCCAGACATAATTGGTTTGTTATTTGGGGGCTCCTGGAGAGACTCAATTCCTGCTTGAAGAGAAGGTGATAGCCATAGCTTGGAAATACGTTTTCTTACACAATCCTCTTGTGAGATAATTGCATCTATTCCAAAATCAGAAGGCTCTGCTCATTATCACTCATGCTTTAGTCACCTTGTAGACTGTTGCAGTGTGTTTTATATAGGATTGCCCTTAAGGACAAGCTAAAAGCTATAGTTTGTCTAAAATGCATCAACACAAATAAACCTTGGTAGACCTTAGTAATACCTCTAATACTCAGTCTGCATATGTTGCCTTCCAAGTGCGACTCAAGATGCTGGTGGTCACCTATAAAACCCTTTGTGACACTTGGCCTGGATATTTATAGGAACATCTCTAATTATCATACTCATCTGACAATAGCTGACAGGATCCCATCAATTAAATAGGCTATTCTATGGGACTCAGGAGGCATGCCTTCTCTGTCACCGCACCTGCCAAAGGGAATAATATTTTCCCCTAAATTCATTTGAGCCTGATTTTATCAGCCTTTAGAAAGATCTCTGAGAAAGTGAGTTGCCTCCAACACAATGTGTTGTTAAGGATTTTTGTTTTAGTTTTTAAATCCAGAGTTTCATAGTGATCAGGAAGTCATACAAAATGAATGAATGAATGAATGAATGAATGAATGAATGAATGATGCTGAGCATAGGAATTAAAATTTATACTAAAATAGTCATGGATCCGCATACCTGCCAAGAATTCAGTAATCTCAAATAATAACATTCCAGATTAATTGAAAAAGGAGCTGATTTATAAATGTTTAATTCTAACCAATCACTGCACTTTAAATGGATGCCCGAAAGTATACAAGATTAAATTTCTGAAAGTATACAGGATTAAATCTACAAAATTCTCTTTTTAATGAAATAAGGATAAGGATAATGCTCTGGCATGCCTGTGAATTATTCTGCATCATCAACATATGGTGGTATCTTAATTTCCATTCCATCTTCTATACTGCCTTTAATATTTAGCATTTCAAAATTCACAAGCCAGCAATTCCAAAATCAAATTAAAAAGAAAATGAGGCCATATTTGATGTAAATTCAAAAGAGAAAAATATATAGTATTCATATTTACCGGTATATATGACAAGGAACTGAATAAACTATGACCAAAATACAGAGTGTTGGGGAAATACATAATAAATTAAAACCAATTTCAAAAACCTCCAATTTACTGATTAATTTAATTTAGAAATGCCAACACTTCAGCAGTACATAAAATATTTTGAGAAATGGGAAGGATTTTTTTTAAAAAAAATAGCAGTTTTGAATACTTCTTCCTAACATTGTTCTTCACCTTTATGTGTCTGTAGTATCTTAACTGCATGGCTTAAACTATGAATGGCAAAACATCAATCTTCAAAAAATTGAAAACATCAGTTTATTTGTTTTTATGTTAATTGATGAAAAAATAAAAGTCTATGTAAAGAGGCTCTGAAATCTTCTTTACTTATCAGAAATCTACTTGACAAAGACAATATTTTCCTATGCTAGAAGATTTCTAATGCTTTCAGATTTCTGAAAGTAATATCTTGGTTCCAGTACTATATTTAGTAGAAATTATATAGCATTCAATTCACTATACTTTATATTGAATTGTTGGTTGATTACTGGAAACTAAAATCCATAAGTACGAACTAAGTATATGAAAGCATCAAAGCCTCACTATCTTCACTTCTAAATAAATACTCACAGTCTGATTCCAACTGCTCTGAAATGACCTAGCCTTTCCCATCAGACTCAGTTCCCAGCTTTTTTAAAGGCCACATGTAGGTTCACTAGTGTTTACAAAAGTTGTCCTAGGCAACCAAACAGAACATAGACATTTAAAGGGACCAACTTCAAGGCTATACAGTATATGATCTTCACCAAATATTGCTTAACTTCCACAATCTTAAGCAACTATTATAGGAATTTCCAAGCTGATGGGAAAATAAAAACAAAGTGCAATTCCTTTTCTTTTTTTTTCTCCCATGTTGAGAGAAGTGTGTGTGTGTGTATACATACATATTATAAATGAATGATTTAATATGATTTTAATCTCTTTAAAATAACCACAATATCACATTCTTTCTTGCGTGTATTTGAAAAATAAGATCAGTTTCCTCTAGTGACAGATGTATAATACATTTATTATTTGGGATGTGTGGGTAGTGGGTAAAGCTGAATTTTGTGGAGGGGGGAAGGAAAACTCAATAGATTGACTAACAGAATTATTTAAATGATTTAAGGATATGGATAGTAAAGCATTCCTTATCACTGATGGATTCTTTTGAAATGACAAAATCTTGGAATAGCTAGTTAAGGATTTTTGGGTAGAATAGTTAATTTGGTTCAGTGCTGGTATTTCAAATGATTTCTTGATCTCAGAACTCATTTAGAGTATAGTCATGAAATGTGGAATCACAATCTAGGCAAGTGTATTATGTGAACATACTCTGTGTCATTAGTTTATGGTTCAATGTGTTGTGCAAATGTACAGTAAAAAATCAGAGACATTGAACAAACCATGTTTAAAATAATAAATGGTAATCCTGTTGTAATAACACAATCTAATGTTTTGTACCAGGCAACAAGTACAGGGCTCAGTCCTGTAATTAAAAAAAACAGTAAAATAAATTCTAACAGCCTGAAGACTTGCATTAGTTCATGTAAGGTCATATAAGGACAAAGGCCCAGTTGAACACAGCCTATGACATATTCTGTTTGTGAACACAATCCTCCACCTGCTCGGAAGACTACTCAAGTTATAAAGATTGCCAAGCAGAGTCATAAGGGACTGAAAGCAAAAGTGTTCCTGTTCTTTAAATACTAAAGTTGCAGCCTTATATTGAACAATAAGCTCAGTAGGATTTGCTTGTAAGTAAACATGTTTAGGATTGCAAGATTAGGGCCTCTTTAAAGCAACTACGGTACATAAGATCAGCCACAGGATGAGCATGCAAATAAATAATTTAACAACTTGACTATATTTGCTTCCAAGAAATTGAAATTAACTTAAAGTGTTAATAAAACTGGGTCCTTAAAGGTATTTATTTATTGACCTTTCAGGTCAATTTTAGATCAACAAAAGCTTAAGTTTCTTTATTTAAAAAAAGCTACCATTCCTAATACTCAGATCTACTAGGCTCCACACTAGCTTCATTTTTTTCCCATTAGGTCTTACCCTGTATCTGCTCTAAAAGTAGATTCTATGTAGGAAGCAAACTCTTTTTCCTCCTGTAAAATCAAAAGTTGACAACCTTTGCCAATCATTAGCAACCTGCTAATGAATAGATAAATGGATCCACCTGTTACATTAAAAATGATGTATTCAATAAGCTATAATTGAGTAGGTTCACATAACAGATTATGACAAAACTGGAAAAAAACCCACTATGAATCTCTATGTTAATCTCAGAAGAGAATAAATTCTCTGTGTTCTAGTTTGGATTGCTGCAATTTATTTTTATAATGCTATTTTTGTAAACAGTTTGGAAAATTCAAACTAGGGACTAGCGAATATGATGATGAGATGCCAGTGATCTCCTGCCTAATCCTGTCCAAAATACTAAGGATAGTTGATAGTTAATCAATGAAAAATAAATATTTCAGACAGAAGACTTGTAAATGCTGCTCTTCATTATCAGAACAACTCACTTATTATTTTGCAGAATTCCTCTTGCAGAGTTTCTGGTTAAACAACACAATCTTCTATTTAATGGAACTCATATGATGCAGCACCAATTGCACATACATACCCCAATTTTTTGGCATTTCTTTGGAAGAAGTTTTCACATTGTCTGTTAAAAGGTATGTTGATGTTTCCTAAATGTAAAAAGAGTTTTATTGTATATGCTCACGCAGAGAGAGAAATGGAATCATCCATCAGTTGATGTCAGCCACTAGATGCATAACTTACAATTGTAGACATGGAAATATATCTTGAATATAGATATTTCTGATTCCATAGACTGTTACCCACCAATTATTTACAGCATACTTCAGCATCATCCAACAATTACTATGCCAATATAACAGTAACAAAGATAGGCTTTAATTGCACCAGCAATAGTTGGTGATGCTAGAAGACATTATTAATCACTACTAAGGAAATGGCTACTTCTATCTGAAATGCCGGGGAACTACTGACATTGAAGGATCAGTGATAAATCTATAACAGCTTTCTGTATTTGCTGTTGACTTGTAGGCATGATAAGCAGACTCTTACTCAAGGCTGTGTTAGAATGCAGGTACATATCATCATGACTTTAGCTGCCTTCTCTGGAAAGGTATCAAATTCCTCTTACTACTCCCCAGTCTTTTATAGACAACGGAAATTCATTTTCAGCATCCTAAATGCATATTCCACAATCATATACAGTGGAGGTAGAGTGAGTTCAATAGTAAACGGGTCCTGAGGTTGTTTTGTTTAAGACAAAAGGCTTCCCATGGTGTAAGCGCTATTCCAATTGTCTAACTTTTGTATGCTTTCCTATACTCTCATGTCAGTGCTTTAGCCTTTTCCCACTATCTGCCAGCAAGGAGTGAGTGGATGTATGCAGCTAAATGACTTTCAGCTTCAGGGATTGTTCCCTTGGCAGGATTTCTGAAAGTTAAGAGCCAGTGCTTCGCCACTCTTGCCCGTAGCTATTTACTGGTAGGACAGGACAGGACAGGACAGAATAGAATGCTCCACTACCTGAAGGCCATTCTATGCATGCTCTCTGATCCCAAAGAAAAACCTTATATTATTGCTGGATTATGAAGCCATGCAGATCCTTCGTCATCCTGTCCTTGAACTTGAGTTTCATATAATTTCCCTTGAACATATTTCAGTTAGCAATGCTTAAAATATCTGTGCATTCATTTGTGTATCTCCTTAACTATAGTAAGCTCTATTTCAATAGGTTATAATAACAGGAAAGGAATGTTTCCATCAATGTTTGCACTAGTTTGCAGACTACATTATAGCAGTTGTTATTTGCTTTTACTTTTGTCTTCATTTCTTGATGCAGGAAGATCAAATGTTGCATGGAAGAACAGAATCCATACCACTTAGATGGCCTTAAGAGGAAGTATTGTAAAAGTGTTTTTATTCTACGGCTATTGAGTTGTTAGTATTACCTATGTCTGGGTTGTATGGTCAAAATGGCAAATGTATGTAATGGGCTGAAAATATACTTGCAATAAAGTTGAGTATCTTCATGACATATAGGAATTGCTACCAGTACAGTCCCTGAGCACACTAAAGAGGATTCTACAGAAGCAATGGGTATATCTTTCATTTTCATTCTGCATTTGGATTTTTATATGACGGCTTTTACCTTCTAATACAGCAGACATTTTGCTAAGGTAGGAACTATGCAAGCATCACAGCAATGAATCTCAAGTAATTAATTAGTCCTGGTGTGAAAAAATAGGGCTTGTCCCAATCACACACTCTATAACACAGCCCCAACTTAGAAAGTCCAACAGAAACCTAGAAGCTTCTGACCTTAAGCCAACCCTTTTCAATCTAAATAATTTACTTTCTCATTTGGATCCATCCAATTATTTGTTGAGTCTTTTCTTTCTCATTGCCATTTGCAAGAGGTTGATTTATATGTCTAGGGTAGGCTGTGGCTAAAGATGATTTCTGAGCGTCTCAGAACAAATTGAACCCTTCTTGTTGTTCTTTCTAGTTGTGTTACATTTGAAGGTTAGGTGAGGGTTATACTTGCTTGCTTGTTTTGTGGAATTCCTACTTTGTTCACCTGAATTAATGATATTGTTTAAAATAAAGCATAATATGTATGTTCTTTAATGCAGCCATTATCCCAGGGTATACCTCTTCTAATGTGAAACATCTGAAAACAAAAAGAAATACTCTAGAGTAGCATAATATTTTCAGATTGGTCAGATCAAATGAAAACTGGTATTTTTGCTCTATTAATTGAGACTAACTGGTATAAAACCAGAGATCTTAGCTTAGCTCATTGATTTTAACTCCGTCTCCGATACATTATCTTGTAGTGCATGCCAGGAAGAATTTATTTCCTTCCTCCGCAATAGACAGTGTGAAGTTTGTACACCATACAGTTTTTCTGAAAAGGAAATCTTTGAATTTTATAATCAACCAGGTCCATTTCCATTCAGATTTTGGTTCTCCCTCATATGAACTTTCTAAATAATTTTGCCGATTTCAATGGCCAACCACTTCTGAAATTTTGCCAAGAAAGTGGTGGGGACTTAACCAGGCAATTACTAGGAGTCAACACTGGCTTGAAGGCACAAAAAAATAATTCAAGCCATAGTTTCGTGAATGAACACAACATAGCTTTTTTTAAGTAGTTAATATTACCAGTGTGTATGTTGATTTTTGGCTATAGAGAAAATACACTTTGTATTACATATACAAAATAAAATTGTATACAAGTTATGCTACAGTGAGACTGGTTGGTTTTTTTGTGTGTGGGGGACTTTGGTGTACTACCAAATACAATATTAGTCTTTAACCACTTGCCACTTTTACTTCCTAATATTTATGGAGTTCTTTCTTGGAAATGAAGATTCTGAGACTTTGTTTTTCCGCATAACAACTAGCTGTTGTTATTTTTAATTACTTTTTTTCAGAGATTACGCAGGGCAGAGAGTATGGCAAGGACCAGTAGGAGTGTCCTTAAGCATAATGTCAGGAATTTAAAATAAATTAAATAAATTAAAGAAAAGTAGTAATATATTATTTCTTCATCTTCATAGAGAAAACTGCAAAGCATACTGGAAGAAAAGAAAATGCTGCTATTGCTGGACAGTTGATATATTTAAATATTCTGAAGTTAGAATCACTAATTAAAGTTACTGAACTGGAGTAAGGTAGAGCAGAGGTCCCCAACCTTTTGGGCACCAGGGACCGGTTCTGTGGAGAAAGGTTTTTCTGCAGACTGGAGAGTACATGGTTTTGTGTGCTGCCTGAATCCCACGGATGGGGCTTTGCTCTTTGTGAGGATCGGTTCCTGGCATGCCACGGCCTGGTACTGGTCCACAGACCGGGGTTGGGGACCCCTGAGGTAGAGGATGTAAATAAACTACAATATGAAGAATGTGCAGAGAAAGAATATGTATATGAGTAATTTGAGGGTCTGATTTCCACAGAAAAGTTTGAATATTTTGAAAAATTCATCCCACCCATCTGATAGGTCTCTTGTGGGACCATAGTATAATAAGAATCAGGAATTAGAGAAGAGTTGGAATGTATAAACAGGAGTTCCCCAACTAAGAGGTGTAAAGGAATTTTTGTTGTTCAACTTGCTAAAAGTGAAAATACATAGATTTGCATTTTAGTGAAAAATTTCATCAAGTATTAGCTGAAGTGAGGCAAGCATCTTGGGATATATCATTTCTAATTGCTAAACAAGAAAATGGATAATATAGAACAGGGGTGTCAAACTGCTGGCCTGTGGGCCAGACATGTCATCTGGAAGCCGCACCCACCCCATTGCCAGCAATGGCAAAACCATCCCGATATGTTGCGCAACATCACATGACGTCGCGAGTTTGACATGTCTGATATAGAAGAATCTCTTTTGAAATATTGCTTGCTGAAACAACTACTACTGAGCTTGAAGCTGAAAACAAGAAAAATGTATCAGGTGATCCATTTTTCAGTACTTCTGTAAAATCTTATTTTGATCACCTGGTGAGACATATTGTGCTTCTTTTTTCACAGTTCAAAAATATATACCACAATTTTGTCTGTTGCCTACCTACATTTTATTCAGTGACAATGGAGGTGTGAAAGAACTGCATTTTCAAAGAAATTGAGAACCACCTCAAAAGCTTCTGATGTTAGGAAAATGTTTTTTCCCTTTCCTCTTATTTTTTAAAAAAGAATTTTTGTTGGAAAACAGGTTGGTTTATTACTTTGTTTTGTAAAGCCATCTTTCTCAAATAGATGACTTATGTATGCATAAACAGTGTTCCAGTGATACTTGGCTCTTACTTGAATCTGTGAAATAAAACTATAATCATAAATTAGTGCATCATGCACAGAGAAGCACTGATAGATAAAATTCTTCTAGCTAATGTGTATGTTACATTTAATGTTTATCTCTTCACAAAATATAAAATATATACCTGGATATTGTTGAGTAAAGACTTCTGTTTTTACATAAAAGTATTATGACTTTCCAAAGAGAATAGTCTTTTGAAATTATTGAAGCTAAAAGATAAAATATTTTTTTCAAAGAATAAAAGAAAGGATAGCATGTTTCACATTCATTGGAATACTGTACAGTTTGTAATTTTTGAAGAACCTCGGTTTAAAGCTGTAAGAAACAAAAAAAAAAAACCACAAATGTAATGTGCCACAAAATAAATAAATAAATAAATAAATAATCCAGTGCTGGAAATGTTGAGTGCAAGCTGAGATTCCTAATTTCATTAAACTTCTTAAAATGACATTAAAATGTTTTCATTACTTAATTCATTAATTGATGTAACCATGAACTTTATAAAGGAGACATGAAGAATAAATCTGTGGTACACTGGAACTTATTTGCAGATGAATTCATGTGTTATTTTCCAGATGGTTCTGATAAGCCCATCCATAAACACAGGTACTATAACCCTCAATTTATGACCATGGTCGGGACTGGAATTTCCATTACTAAGGGATGTGGTTACAAAGTGCAATGTCACTATGACTGCACTGATTAGTGACGGTAATCCCTGCATTCCACGTTGTCAACCACTAGTCAATAGCTGAGGACCTACCTCAATCCAAGCCATTTCCAACTTGGTCCCTGCCAGCCCCAAACCTTGATTCTTCCAAGGTAAAGGGCTACCTCCCTTTCAACTCCCCCCCCCAACTGCCTATTCCCTGCCCTTTGGGCTACCATGCCCCCTGCAAAACCCCCACCTCACTGGACTTAAGATTTTACTGCAAGCTTCTCCATTGACTCTGCTTGTCAAAATCCACTTGTGAAGCATGCAGATGGTGATTGCATAACTGTGGAATGCTGCTGAAGTTGCAATTTTGAATGTCATTAATCACAGCAGTTGTTAAGTGAGACATACCTGTACATCCTTACTATAAGATAGTAGGCACTCCATTACAAAACATGCTGGTAGCCATAAAACATCAGTCTGAAGCACTGTCTACAGGCTCTGAATCATGACTACAACTGGCCAGTCAGAAAGGAGGATAAACTATGAAGCTTCAGGAATACTCACTGTACAATAGTTAATGGGATACCAGGCACAGCTCAAGAAAGCAGGCATTGTATTTTCCTTTATTCGGCTAGCATTAATGTGTGTTTCCACATACTACACTATTGTATTAGTATCAGAGTTATATGTCTCTGACTTATATGTCTTCTGCAGTCACAGTTACTGTATTCAGCAACTCTCATAAGTTAAATGTAGAGCGTATCCTCAAGCTTAAAAACAAAGTAACATATCACATCCAGTTTGGAACAATCTTGATACTTTTTTCTTCAATAACAATTGGTTATCTTTGCCTTCTTGGCTGAGGCCAGAATGCACCACTCTGCAGGAGTTTAGCCTTGAATATGATCAGAAAGGATGAGGCAAATTCTCAGCAGCTTTTTTCCCCCTATCTTTTGCAACAGAAGAGATCAAGTTGGCCTTCTTTTATCAGAATACTAGTTTTGATTCTAGCTAGTGGAAAATAAACCCCAAAGAGACTGAATTATGATATTTGGTCTTATAAAAATATACCCAGGATTAAATGTGGGAGGATGGGTATAGATCACTGGTTATTAGAATTAGAGCATTTTAGCTGGAATTAACAAAAAGTGTGGAACATGCTTCTTACCTTTGAAAATTATTACTTGAAAGCATCTTCCGCATTTCAGTAATCTATCTGAAAGTAGCATTGTTAGTTAAAAATGCCACCATTGGTATTTGGCAGCAATCCCATTTGAACTCTTCTCATATGTCCTTATCATAAAGTGTGTGTTTGCCAGAGCAACCTAGTGTGCTGATTATAGGGAGACCAAGGTTCAAATCCATCCTCAGCCACAGAAACTCACTCTTTCTCAGCCCAGCCCACCTCACAGGGCTGTTGTGGGAAAAAACTAGGTGGGAACTCTACTACCTTAAGTATCAGAATAAAAAGCAGAATATAAATCAAATCAATCAATGTTCTAGCTGGCTGAACATTTATTCTCACATTGTACGTCTAGCCAGCATGTATTTTTGTCTTATTTCTGTTTAGGTCTCTATCTCCAACTATAGACAGTGATGCAAGATTGCAGCCACTTAGCCAAAATCAATGCATGTTTACTCATAAAGTTTCTGTGATAATTATTTCCACACACGCAGATAGTACACGGTTGGCGGCAGCGCGAACTCATTTATTCTGAAGTCGCACAGCAGCGAAAGCGACAATTTCCTCCTCAGCAGAGATATTTAGCGGTACATTCCGATTTTTTTTTCTTCATATTACTTCAGAGCAGGGAGCCTCTCCTAGTCCATTGGGTCTCATTCTCCAGTGAGCCTAAATGCAATAGTAAACTAGCTACTTTAGGAAAGTAGCCGGCGTGAGGTACTGAACCAAAAGATAAGCGGCGACTATTTTTCAGTCAGAGCAAAACCGGGATCTGTCGGCGGGTGCATAATGTGCGGGGAAGCCGGTGAGGTTGCTCTGTAGGGATGGCACCTGCTTTCCACCCAACTCGGGCAGGGGACCAAAACACAACCAGAATTACTCAGCTCCCGCCAAGCAGTCTTAGGAAAGT